TGTATTTGTAATAGGAACAGTCGTTCCCACAGAAGGCGCCAAACTAATGGTGCTCCAAACGTTATTGAATATATTATGTATGATTAGGGGTTAGGACTGAATTACTAGGCTTGGGTGATTATGATCGAACTTATTTTTTGGGGATCTTTAGGGAGAGATCACGCTGAAGAATTATAATGGTTCACCAGCTTGAGTCGGCTAGTCCACTCTTTAAAGGAGTCTCTTACTCCTGAGGCTTTTACTCAATATGAATAGTCGTTTGCAAAGTCTTCTTTTTTTTTTTAGAAAAAGAAAATTGATTGCCCCCTAATGAGGGCTTTGTACAGTATTTATAGCCTAGTCCCTAATTCTAAGGGACCAGTGGCGAGATCTTCTCTTTCCTCCCGCGATGTTTTACTTGATTCTAGGCAATGGTTGTGGTGGTTAAGGATCTTGCGCCTAAACTAGCGGTTATTACTGTTGAGGAGGTGCGTTGTGGTTAGACAGCTGTCTTCCATGCATTTTCTTCAGGTTGCAGGTCGAGGGGGCCCCAGGTCTAGGGTGTTGGGCTCAAGCTTTCCTGGTTGAGCTCCTGTTCCGACCTTACCTCCTGAGCTCAAACTTAAAATTCCCTCTAGGTATCATCATCATTCATTGAATTTAGCATGTTTTCTTAAGTCTTCAAGAATCTATCGTTTTAGTAGTAATCAATAACATAAGACTCTAGATCTTTGCATAAAAAATTGATTGCTGAAACAATACAGCAACATGGGATACCTGTGAGATCCCATTTCCTGCATGAACACGTCATATCTTTCACATCTAGACATAGTTGTTCTCCATAAGGACCTACAACTTCGAATTTATCATTTCCATTCCACCTTGGGATCCAAGAGGTTACATCCTCTTTGTTTTTTTGGAGAGAGTAAACCTATATAATTTATAATCAGATCTCTCCTTTTTTGTACCTTTTCCATTAGTTTTATCATGATCATATCCAATGTTGTAACAACTGACTTCTCTCTTACATCCAATATGTGCGCATTAAAAATCTCACAAATATTATTCACTAAAGAATCACAATTTGATAATGTGCAAACTTTTGACTTAATCCAATGAATGGGAGACCTCTTGCATTACCATTTGTAAGCATCTACATTAACCTTCTCTAGTTGTTCCATTGTACTATGAAACTCACTCATTCTGGTTGCTTTAGCTACTTTCCAAAGGAGGTCCCTTAGAGCTGACCCTTTGTGCTCTTTCTTGAAGTTATTAATGAGATGCATCACACAAAAGCTGTTTCAGAATTTAGCAGTAGCTCTTCAATAGTTGGAATCAGTCCCTATATACAATAAACAATCTGACTTGGATAATTGACTACAAAACAACAAACTTGTTCAACATAAATTTAGTGGGAAACACTCATTTTCTGCTTGTCTGAAATGATTGTGTATGAGTAGCTATTTTCAATACTTAGGTCTTCTTTGAGGTGTTGTACAAACCAAGACCATGAATTTTTTGTCTCCTTTTCAACCACAACATAAGCAAAAGGAAACCAATTGTTCATAGCATCCATTCCAACTATTGTAAGTAAAACACCACCATGCTGCCCACTAAGATGGCCCCGATCTAACCCATTCACTGGCCTACATCCTTCAAGTAATCCCTTCTGTAGAGCATCTCAACATATGTAAAACCTTTTAAACATAGGTTATTGACTAGTGCCATAGTATTTCACTTTCATCAATACAGTTGTATCAAGGTTTGTTCTCCTAATATCTTCCATGTAATCCCATAACATACCATATTGTTCAGCAGATGTACCAGTTATGTTGTTTATTTCCTTTCTTTTTGCTCTAAACACTAGACTTGTACTCATACTAAGATTAAACTCCTTCTGAACTAATTCTTTAATGGATCTTAAAGGACATTTCATGTTTGATCTTATGTTGTCCATATACTTTCTAGATAACCATTTGGAGTTTGCATGCTTAACATGAAATGACCTATGGCACCTTCATCTACATATTGTTTTATCTGCATTCTATTTTTCCCCTACATTCTTGAAGCAAATATTGTCCAATTGCACCCTTCGCTACAAACAACTCTAACTATATGTTTTTCATTCCTTGTGTGAAACCCAAAATTCGGAGGTCCTTTATTAACCCGTTGATCATTCATCAACCCGCGGAAGTACTTGTGTATGCCACTTAACCCGGCACCACATTATCACACAATCATTCCAAGGTCTAATCTTCATCACTTAAAACTTAATATTGTACCAATTACATCTTTTAAACAAGAATACTCAAGGCCCAAAGGCTTAGCACGTTATATTTAAAGTTTTGAAAAGTTTGAAAGAGGTACCAGCACCTATCTCACATGGTACTAGTACTTGAACCTTATGTTTTCTAGGTACCGGTACCATACATGGACCTTTTGTTCCCAGGTTCTTTGTATTTATTAGGTCTCAGTATCTAAGTGACGGGGTACTGGTACCTGAGCCCACTGTTTTCTAGTTACCGATACCTACATGTTGTAGTATCGGTACATGAGCCCGCTATCCATTGGGGTACCGGTACTTGAAACATTAGTACCAATACCTAAACCCACTGGTATCCATATGTCGAGGTATCGGTACCTGGCTCAAATTTTCCCCAAATTCAATCCAATCTCAACATTTAACCATCCAATCAGATTCAAGTTCACCCAAACTCCATAACATTCAATTATCCTCAAAATACAGTCTATAAGAGTTCATTACATGTTCTCTTCCCACAATTTATAATTCAAAATAAATTACACAATTGTTTTACAATAATGTAATTTAAAGTTACATTCCGGCTTCTTCTCAATAAGGACCCAAGTGAGGGTTGTCTACCGACGCTTGTCCTACACCTGAAATATTGTCCCTATAAAGGGTGAGTCACATTCAATAAGGTATTTCCTAAATAGGTTACCTCCCAACCCAAATGCATATGAAATGTTTACATGCAATTTACCATCAATCAACCATTCATCTAAGAACATACAACTTCAAGAAATGAATATCACAATGTCATGTCATGTTATGAGATGAAACTCACACGTGCAATGCAACCTGAACCCTCCAATGGATCCCATACCACATGCAATGACGTGCATTTTCATCAAGGCATTTCAAACTCCCGTCATTGATGTTGCACATCAAATGACCATTTATAAATCTCGAGTCTTTCTTGAGATGGGTATTTATAGACTTCCACCAACAAATACCCAACCTACACGGCTTCTATAGACTTCCACCAACGACTCCGCGTATGTTGACACACTTTATTGACTTAATGCCAATGAAATGTGTAACCAATCATTGAGTCTTGCACCTGAGAGAGAATCTAGCCCTTCTTGCTAACTCCGACCCTTGTTTTCATGCAATCCGTGCGACTCAGTCTAACCTTGGTCCAACTTTCCCGAGCCTACATACCATCCACCAAAAAGGGTGTTTAATCAAAACCATACACACACCCACACTCATGTCATATGCCCACGAATGCAATATTTCTTGTACATATGAAATTGCAGTGTACAAATGCAATTCCAATATAATGTTCATCATATTATGAGTATAGTATGAACAAATACAATTTCCACAATGTCAATTATATCATAAGCACATAATTATATTTTACAATATCACCAAGCATGTTATCTCATTCTCATTTAAATAATATATTTCAATCATTCCTAGACATCTTATCAAACACCCAAAAGGCACATAATTTATGTAAACACAGCATGCCCAATTTCATCACATTTATCATGAAATCACATGCAAACAATTTTCACAAACCAAATTCGTGCTAAAATTGATTTTACACATTCTTATACCATTTTTCTATACTCTATTACACTACGAGTATATTAAATAAGAAATTTCATCTCTAATTATGCTACCCATTTCATACGCAAACTCTAAGTTGAAAATATACCTAGTTAGGAAAAGAATCCCTACCTCTTGAAGCATAATGCACGTAGTAGAAGTTTCAAATCACTCAACTCTAGCTTCGAAGGCTTGATCCCAAAAATCTCGATCTTAAGACTTCAATAAAACCCGCTAACTTTGGTACATACTTGTAGCTCTCGTGGCATAGAACAACGTTTGTTCTTGGCCCAAAGCGATTCAACCAACAGAGAACCATTGATCACAAGGAGAAGCTTGAGAACCATTGTTTCCTTTCTCTTCTCTCCTTTTTCTCTTTTCCAAAAAACCTAGCAACAAATTGGGGAAATATTTGAATGTTCTCCCTTTTTATACCACTTGGATACTTGGTGCACAATGTGTCGCACGAACCATCTTTTCTGATCCGATTTTGTCCTAAATCAATTAAATCTCATCCCGTTTTAAGTTTAATATATTTTATTTGAAATAAATTTAAATTATTTTTTTGTGTTTCGCAATTAAAACTCGATCGCGTTTATTTTAGTCACATGACGTTCAATCGCATCGTCAAACGCAAAAAATTTGACTGTCTCGAAATTCAACAAAAATTGATTGGATAACTAGATTTTGCAAGACGAATCCAACGATGAGATCCATTTTGTCATCCAAATTCTAAAAAAATTCGAGTTTTCAACCCCGTACCAAAATGACTAATTACCATTTTACCCTTCACAATAAAATTTTAAATTTTTCCCAAGTTGTACACCTTATGAATGTAATTTGCTTGTCATGCTTAATAGCATATTCCCTAACTGCTTCTCCAAACACAACAGCCCTAGTAAACCTCATGCCCAGCTTGAAAACAGGATTATTCATGTCAGTTTTGGGGTTAAAAACAGATATATGTATCCTGTCATCATTATCTGATGAGCTGCAAATTCTTCTGAGCTCATTAAATAGTATAACTTCAGATTCTGATTCATCTTGCCATACCTTTCCCCTTATCTATATACTTTAGATTTCGCTTAGGCATCACAAATTTTTTTTGTCTTATCCATCCGTTTAGGCAATGCAGATTCTACTTTTTTCCATTTCCTTGTAATTATTGGCACCAACCCCACTCTACTCCATGTTCAACATTTGTTTCGTATAACAAATCATCATCAATTAAAGCATAATTACTTTCATTATACTCATCATCATGACTAGAAGATCCACCAGATTGAACCTCATAATAATCATCATCCTCACTTTCTTCTTGAATATTATCCTCCAAACCACCACCACTTGAACCTATCTAACTTTGTACAATAAGTCCATTATGTTCAACATAGATGTTAGCAACCCTATCATCATCAACAAATTTAACCAAACTCATGTAATCACCATCAGTCACCAACAATCTCAGAACACTGTCACCACCACTCTCATTCATTTTATAATGAAACTTAATAGTCTTATCAGCATCATTATAACCCAAATAATTCGCCATTGTGAACAATTCAATCAGAGACATTTCATCACTGTCACAAAAGTCAAAGTGATTAACCCTCCCACCCAAATAAATAGTCCCACCCATATTTGGAAATATACCACCATGATACATTCTAATGGTAAAATTACTAGAACCCTCGTCTACACAAATAATGATGAAAAAGCAACATAAATTATTTTAATAAAGATCAGCATTTGCCAAAAACCAAAGAAATTTCCTAATAAACTAATCAAACAGAAAGAAAAATACCACATGCATGGATCAACGTAAATGTGAATCGTACCATATAGTGCTTCCAAACCGGACCCACCTGGCAAGGTACCACCGGTACCTCAGCTAGGCTGGTTTCTTCACTAAATCTTTCGAACAATTCACCCACTTATTAACCGTTCAAACCAGACTAAATCAGCTAACGTGTTACTTGCAAACCGGAGTTACCAAAATCTAATACATTTTTTTCTATATCTATATTACTTAAATATTATAAATTTCCAACTCAAATCATGCATAGGCTGAACCACTTGGCTCGGCTCATCACCCAAGGAAGTTGCCACGCTATCACGCCACTACCACAAATTAGCTGAGATACTTTTTTTTTTATATGCACATAGACCTCAACCCTTCAACTGAGTTTCCGATGTGGGACAAGAGAAGTGCTTGCCTAGTTATTGTTCTAATTTTCTATTCCTTATTGTGTACATTTGAGTTACTTTTTTTTTCTTTCAATTTCTTATTTTATTTTTTGGAGTCATCACATTTTTATTATATAAACCATATATTCAATGCTTATTAGTTATTGGTGATTTTTTTTTATCTTTTCTATTTCATTTGCTATAACATAAAATATGTTACTTTTGCAACTATTATATTCTTTTCGTATGTTTATTATTAATAATAATTATTTTATGATCTATTGACCTGCGGTTGAATCAGTGACTTATTGGTTCGGTCTCTTTACCGCGTCCATATCTGGGCCGTATTTTAAAACTATGATACCATGTATTCGTGCCTTCAAATTACCACTAAGAATGTACCAACCCTCTCTTAGTGTCCAAGTCGTCTTCACTACTACAAGAATATGCTATAAAGCACTTCTCTCTTGCCCTAATCTGTGCAATTGAACACCATAATCCCCTTTCTTCTACAAATCCCCTATCTCTTCTGCAAATCCCCTTTCTCTTCCACAAATCACATTTTAACAAATCAATTCACGTGCTTTGCACAATTTTTAGGGCACAAATAGGGTATAAATTCCCTGCTTTGCCCTTTAGCATCTTGCCAGGTGCAATGGACACATGCTAGTGTTTCCGTTAAATGTATGACGATAATTATCGACTGGGGCAATGTCAAACAACAATGTTAGTTGAGGGTGCAATGTGATAAAACTGGTAATTTAGGAGGCAAAGTGGAAAATGTGTGATAATTTAGGGGTATGAATATAATTCATCCAAAAAAAGATTGAATTTTAAATTTTTTGACAATTATAGTCTCCAAATCTTTCATTTTTTTCATTTCTTTTTGTTTTGGTCTAATTTTGTCAATTCTATATCTATTTTATTCTAATCACAAAAGTTACTTAATCGTTTGTCGTGATAGCAAAGATCATTGCTTATAAAATAGGGTATATATGTTATAATTTTTTTCTTCTTTTTTCCCTCCTCCTTTGAGTCCTCATAAATTTGTCTACCTAATCAACTAAGGTATCTAAGTTCGAAATCTCTCTCTATGTGACCCAATTACACAATTATTGACTTTTATCTAAGAACGCACAACGGAGTTGTAAAACTCTATCATCTAAGAAGAACAAGATGAAGGGTTTAGATCTTGAAATAATTTTTTCAAGTTGTTGTTTGTATATATACACATTTTTTCGGTCGTGCCATTTCAAAAATTAATTAAATTAGATTTATATAATTTAAAGGATTTGCATGTAATTTATTAAAGAAAAAAAATATCAGCAAACAACACAATAACGACTAAAAAGTCCAGCAAAGTTTAAAAAATTAGAGTAAATGCCATAATTGGTCCTTTAACTTCCCCTTCAATTTTAATTTGATTTCTAACTTTTTAATTATTTTAATTTAGTCCCAAAACTGCCAATTGCATATCAATTAAATTTTTTTATGTATTTTCACCATTAGATCAAACGGAGATTAATCCAATTTGATCCATTTTTTTTTTTTGGTNCAAATCCCCTATCTCTTCTGCAAATCCCCTTTCTCTTCCACAAATCACATTTTAACAAATCAATTCACGTGCTTTGCACAATTTTTAGGGCACAAATAGGGTATAAATTCCCTGCTTTGCCCTTTAGCATCTTGCCAGGTGCAATGGACACATGCTAGTGTTTCCGTTAAATGTATGACGATAATTATCGACTGGGGCAATGTCAAACAACAATGTTAGTTGAGGGTGCAATGTGATAAAACTGGTAATTTAGGAGGCAAAGTGGAAAATGTGTGATAATTTAGGGGTATGAATATAATTCATCCAAAAAAAGATTGAATTTTAAATTTTTTGACAATTATAGTCTCCAAATCTTTCATTTTTTTCATTTCTTTTTGTTTTGGTCTAATTTTGTCAATTCTATATCTATTTTATTCTAATCACAAAAGTTACTTAATCGTTTGTCGTGATAGCAAAGATCATTGCTTATAAAATAGGGTATATATGTTATAATTTTTTTCTTCTTTTTTCCCTCCTCCTTTGAGTCCTCATAAATTTGTCTACCTAATCAACTAAGGTATCTAAGTTCGAAATCTCTCTCTATGTGACCCAATTACACAATTATTGACTTTTATCTAAGAACGCACAACGGAGTTGTAAAACTCTATCATCTAAGAAGAACAAGATGAAGGGTTTAGATCTTGAAATAATTTTTTCAAGTTGTTGTTTGTATATATACACATTTTTTCGGTCGTGCCATTTCAAAAATTAATTAAATTAGATTTATATAATTTAAAGGATTTGCATGTAATTTATTAAAGAAAAAAAATATCAGCAAACAACACAATAACGACTAAAAAGTCCAGCAAAGTTTAAAAAATTAGAGTAAATGCCATAATTGGTCCTTTAACTTCCCCTTCAATTTTAATTTGATTTCTAACTTTTTAATTATTTTAATTTAGTCCCAAAACTGCCAATTGCATATCAATTAAATTTTTTTATGTATTTTCACCATTAGATCAAACGGAGATTAATCCAATTTGATCCATTTTTTTTTTTTGGTAACTCAGAAGAAATTCTAACAATTTATTGCTGAGCTCAATGACCTATGCAGCCACAAGAGAATACCTCCGGTGCAATACCCTACTAACCACATGCGTCTGGTAAATGGCAAGGCTTATGTCTTGGGTAGGTGGCCCTAGGACTCAAAACAAGAACCTCTCGGTTGATGCCATAAAAGTCTTATCATTTGAGTTAACCCTTTAGGTTAATTTGATTAATTTCAAACGTTAAATTATATGATTTTGTTTTGATCTAGCGGTAGAAATGGACAATTGAGATTTAACTGATTAAATTAAAATAATTGAAAATTCAGGAACTAAATTGAATCTAAAAATAAAATTTAAGAATTAACTATAATATTTATCTATAAAACTATATTGTAAATAAAATAATAGGTTAGAAATCAAGTGGGCCACGAGGGCCCCAATTCACATTCCTTCATTGGCATCATCCATTCTAATAATACACATCTTTTTTCAACCCATAACAGCCTACTTTGTTGCGACTCTATAAAAAAGAAGCTTTCTATCAAAAAGAAGATTAGAAAAGCTGAAGAGGAAATTTTCATTTGGACACTAGTGTCAAAATTAAGTTCAAATTTGGGCCCTAATCTTCTTGTTTCAATTCAATGATAAAGTTATTTTTTACTATGTAAATTGTCACGAATTTAAGTTACAAAAATAATCAGTTTGCAATAATAGATAAGATTTCATAATCTAATCTATTCAAATTCTACAATGACAAGAGCTCCCCTTTTACTTTATCTCTGGTGTCAAATTTTCTTATATACATCTAAAAAATTAAGGGCAATTTCAAAATTATTTATGGATTCATATAAATTATCAAGTGTTAGATCAAAGACGTTATGGAAAAAAACCTTATACCAAAAGAAGATGTGAATCTAATCTAAATGATATTGAGATTGGAACCAATACTTGGTACTTCTGAGTGTCAAAATTATGTGTGAGTTGAGCACAAGTGAGCAAGATTCCAGTAAGCAAGAATACAAGAAAATTAGTGGTTCATCAAATTGAAGAATTAGGCTAGTACACTTTTATCGAGTATCTTGTTCGATTCTTTTATTTGAATTACTTGGTGAATAAGAAGGTTAAACTTGAGACACAATTGCACATATATTCTAGGCAAGGCAAGGGTATGACTACTTATACATTTTTGTTAGTGTGGTCCTCAAATAATGATGGTGCAGTCCCTAAGTTTGTTAGAATATTTAAGGGAATATTTGACCGTTAGAGGCTCTCTTTCATAGGTATGACCTGACATTTTAAAAGTTATAACGTGACATTCTAAAAGTTACGACTTCTTGCTTAAGGTAAGATTGAGTAGCGTAATTCCTCTTCTTCTAACATTTGTATAGTTGTTTGAATAATTACCGAGTTGAGTCATGTCTTGGCTATCATGGGTCCTAATAGGTCAAGTATGTCATGCCTTAATCAGGTCAGTCAATTCATCCACTTCATTCTGTTGATATCATCATAAAGTATTGTACATATAGTACATAACTCGAAGTAAATGAGTCTTTAAATAAAGAAAAATACGAAAAAAGTATAATCCAAAAACATAGGTATTTTGAAAAAGGTTTACAGGATATCAACACCAAATACATTTAGTTACGAAAACGGGTAGACACTAGACACGAAAAAAAAAACAAGGGGTAGGGTTGAAACTAATATACCAATTACAAGGTAGTGAAATGAAATTTCAAATAATATAAACCATGCCATTCAAATTATGGCAATGCATTGGCCATGTAGATGCAGTTTTCCCAGATCTATGTTACCGTGGGTGGGTGGGTGTGTGTGTGTGAGAGAGAGAGAGAGAGAGGGTACATGTGTTTGAGTGTTTCCATCACTCATCACAGATTTGTCCACTGCCCGAGTACAAGTGCCAAAAGAGCTCAAAAGCCAAAAAAAGAAGAGAACAAGACACCAAAGAGACAATTAAGGATACCAAAACCACTGAGAAACAAACGCAAATGCGTTTCACAATGGGTCTGAATCTCCTCCTCTTGGTAGCCATGGTGGCCACCAACATTCTCTCTCTCTACCATCTCTCCTCCACCCTCCAATCCAAACCCCCAGCTCCAGCTCCAGTCCCAGACCACCTCCTCCACCAGCTCTCCACTATACGCGCCACCATTAACCACCTCACGCGCCTCCAACCCACCACAAACACTAACCCCACCACCAGTAAAAAACCCACCATCCCATCTGACCTCCTACTCTACACTCACATCTCTCCAGTAGCCTCCTCCTGCCGTGACTACCCTGATCTCCTCCACCAGTACATGAACTACACCCCTTTCTCTCTTTGTCCTCTCGACTCTGCCCTTGCTGAATCCCTCATCCTCCGCGGCTGCCACCCCCTCCCTCGCCGCCGTTGCTTCTCCAGAACCACCGCAAAGCTCCCCACCTCCCTCCCCACAAACCCATTTAGTCCCCTCCCAGATAATGCCCATTTATGGAACATTTACACTTGCAAAAGCTTCACTTGCCTCTCTAGACTCAACCCTGAACTGGGTTTCGACATGAAAGCAGAGAAGAGCAAGTTCACGACATATAAGACAGATCTGGATCTACCCATCCAACAACTGATTCAAATTTCAAAATCAGCCAATTCTGTTCTTCGATTAGCTCTTGATATTGGGGGTGGGACAGGGACTTTTGCAGCCCAAATGAAGGAACAAAATGTGACAGTTATTACCACGACTATGAATTTGGGTGCACCATATAATGAAGCTGTAGCTTTGAGAGGATTGGTGCCACTTCATGTGCCATTACAGCAGAGATTGCCTGTGTTTGATGGGGTGTTGGATCTAGTGAGGTGTGGGCATGCTGTGAATAGGTGGATACCAGTGACTGCAATGGAGTTCTTGTTTTATGATGTTGATAGAGTCTTGAGAGGTGGTGGGTACTTTTGGTTGGACCATTTCTTCAGCAAGAGGGTGGATCTTGAGAAAGTTTATGCACCACTGATTGGGAAGTTGGGTTACAAGAAGGTGAAGTGGGCAGTGGGAAATAAGATGGATTCGAGTGGGGTGAAGAATGGTGAGGCTTATTTGACTGCTCTTTTACAGAAGCCAGTGTCTAGATGAGGCTCTAATTGAGGTAATTTGACTTCTTCAATGGTTATCTCTGGGTTGTTTTTGTGTAATTGGCCTAGTGTAGTTACATTTATTTACTTGAAATTTCCTTGGTGATTGCAATTGTAGACAGTAGTTGCGAATCATCTGAGCTGAATTATGAATGGTTGGTCCATGACATCAGTGTCTAATCTTAAATTGAAGTCTTACATAAGGAAGATGGGAAATTAAGCATGATAATGTTCTATGATGGTCTGCCCAAATTGAAGTGCTGCATGTGCTCTATTCATATCCATAAGACATTTTTGTAATTACCTCTTATTTCAATCTATGGTTCATCCTCTTGCAAGAACAAAACAAGGGTGGTTATATCTTGGCTAGTCAATAAATGAAATTTGGATCCAATTTCATCTGATCCGACTCAAATTGACCAAGTGATTCATGGTCTTCATTGGTTCCAAAGTCCACAAACAATTCCATTTTGGTCAAAACTTGTGTGAGTGATTAGTTCTTAATTTCTCAAATATCTTTGATTCTTTCCTTATCCAAATTCCTTTGGTGGTTATTAGATCTAAAGTAGTTGAATATGGCATTTATTCATGGATAATTGTGATGTGACTGAAAGTAGATTAAGCATGGCATCGGTGCTCTAATGACTTGTGAACACTAATATGAAAGATGACATTATGAATGTCCATGATATCATTGTTGAAGAACTAAATTGAAGATGCAAAGATATCTTCCCTTGGCACAGGGAAAAGTATTGTAGTGATAATCTGGTCTTGGTCCCTTACCTAGTCCTTCCTTTTTCCAGGGCAGTGGTCTCCAGCAAGTTAGTTTTGCTGTATGTGAATGAAGAAGATATTTTGTTAGCAATTGAAAAAATTTCATTTCATCTGCCAAGTATTTATCTCCCATCAATTTAATTGTCGTGTTTACAGCGAAAAATCTCGTATTTAGACGCAGAAACCATATATGTAATGCTTTATTTTATTATTAAGAAAACTCAGTTTCTTATCAAAGAAAATGTAGAAACCATTTGGTAAAATGTATACACTTCCCTGTCAAGAATTTCCGCAAAGAAAATATAATGCTGTTCTAGTTACGATAGCCCCCCTCAAATTCTTTTTTAAGAGAGCCATGTAAACTCTTTCCTGTATGGCGATGTTTCCAACTGTCAGTTTGTGCCATGCTAAATGCTCTGCATTGCAGCCAATTGGATCCAGTTGCAGAGATGAACATCTCTTGTCAAATTCTTCATGCAAGATGCTTTCCCATTTGAATATGTTATCCTTTTTTCATCATAGTTCATATACTCCTTTGCTTGTGCAAACCGTTTTCCAGGTCCACATAGATCAAGGCAAATATAGATTCTCTGCAAATATTAGGCATTTGGGGCAGCGACTCATTATATATTCTCGCCACACCTATCATAGACCATGGATGCCTTTTGATTGAAATCATATGTTGGTGCTTATTCAACTCGTAATTCATCGTTTTACAATATAGATCGATTGCCAGGTTGTTTGACTCGATTAACATAGGGGTTTCCTATAAACATATTTATTGGTGGCAAATTTGGTATACTTCTCTTACTGCTTGGACTGCTGCTAAGTCCCAAAATCTTGGATTGTTATCTCTATTTTTCAATCAATATTGACGTCGCCTTTTGTGACATTGGGTTGTCTGCAGGGTATCGCTTCAAATCTTCACCACTTGGATGACAAGAAACTTAGGTGGTGGAAGCAAACTGTACTCATACATTACTGTGGGTTGGTCTTTTAGCTTGCTTCCAACAACATGAAGGTTCCTAAAGTGGGAAAACTATGGGGTTGGTAGCAAGTGTTTGAATCATGGCTGATCTTGGACATATTATCATAAAGAAGGGAAATTTTTGTTGCTTATCTTTTTTCCATTTTGACTTGTTAGATAATGTTATTGTAGTTTTAGTCCGGAAACAAGTGTGTAAAATTTATTTTTATTAATTGAATAAAATCTACGGCGCAAAACATGAAGTGATTATTGCAAACATCCTCCTTGTACCTTGGTGTAGATGCATAGGACCCTCCTCTACTTCAACCTTTTGATGAAATGCCTGAAATGAATATTGTATTATGGATAAATGTGATTTCAGGGTCTAGATATGTCCATTTCTTGTTAGGGAGGAGGCTGGTATGCTAGCTTGTCAATGGATTGGTTTTCTTATTTTAAAATTTTGATCTCATTATCTGACATATTTTATTTTTATAGTTTATATCTGAATCTGTTAACAATATAAAATTTAACCTGGAATCTAATCTGATCCGATCCGATTCGAATAACTTAATTTAACTCAAATTAAATCTAAATTTTTTTAAATAATTATTTTATTTCTTTAATATTTAGGTAGAAATGTATTTATATTTTGGATCAAATCATAATTGGATCAGATATGAGTACATTTAAATTTGAATTTGTGAAATATAAATTAACAAATTCAAATTTGGATTTGAATTATCAATAAATAATATCAATCTATATTTTGCTATTCATATTTAGATTAAAATCTAATTCATTAACAAGTCTAGCTTTAGGCTCTCTCTCTCTCTCTCTCTCTCTCTAAATCAGTGTAAGGATGGATTACTTATTTAAAAAAAAAAAAAGCGGGCATTATTGTCATTCGATAATTCTATGCATGTTTGGTTCAAATACAAATAAAGGATGAGATTGAATAATTAGTTTTCATCCAAATGATGTTAACAAAGAGTACTATTTAATTTTATTGTATAACAAGTTTAGATCAAGGTTACACAAATATATAATTATAATATCAAATTTATCTTTGGATTAAATAATAGTGTATGATATTAAATTAAAAATGACAAAATAAATATTGAAGGTAAGAATTTGCATAACGTGTAACTTTTAGCTAAAGGTGCAATTCTAAGTTTGCCAGGATAATAAAATTATTATATTTTTAATAATTAATTTATTAAAAATAATACCATCTATCACATGGTATTCATTACCCCCCCCCCCCCCC